AAGACCCCGCGCAGGTTGGGCCCCGGCTTGGTGGGCGCCGGGCTCCGCTCTGCCCTGGTGCTTCCGCGGCCGGTGGGACGGGCACCTGGCGTGTCCTTCCTCTCCGGGCGGCTCTTGCTGTGCTCCCTCCTGGCCGCCTCCCGGCCGGCTGCACTGCCGGCCCGCTTCTTCTCCTGCCTGCCCAGGGAGAGCTGCAGGGTGGACCCGACCGAGAGCCCCGACACGAAGGAGAGGATGGAGTCGGACTCAGAGGAAGGCTCCCGCGAGAGGGAGGCAGCAGCCTGGTGCAGCCAGGTGACGATGGAGTTGGCACCCTCCTGGATGGCTTGCCACTCCACGCTGTCCAGGTCCGAGCCCCGGTCAGAGCCGGCGTCCTCGGTGGGGCGATGCCTCGCCTCCGCTTTCCGCTCCCTCCCGCCAGCGCCCAGCGGCTTCTGCTTGCGCTCCACCATCCTCCGGCGAGCTGAGAGCCGCCGGCGCTTGGGCATGGCCGAGCCGATGCACTTCTGCAGCAGGTCATCCTCCGAGTTGAGGCTGGGGGAGCTGGGGGAGCCCTCCTGTGCCTGCCCCACCGCTGCGGCCGACCGCGGCCGGGGAGTTTTGCCGCAGGGCTGGCTCTGCTCCTCGCCGTCGGAGAGGTTGGCATCGCTCAGGGAGCTCATGGAGGAGCTGAGGGAGTAGCACGGCGGCGTTTCATCGGCGATGAGGTTGTTCTGTGGTTTCGCCTTCGCTGGCCGGGGACTGGGCTCAGGCTCCCTCCGGGGCACGGAGCCACCCCAACGCTCCCTCCTGGGTGCTCGTCCGGGCTGGGCTCTGCTGCCGGACGCCTCCCTGCCTGCCTCGGGCAGCTCGTCCGAGTCCTGCTCATAGAAGCAGTAGACAGCTTCCTCTGTCGGCGTGGTGTGGCACAGTGACTGGAAGGCCACCCCCTCCTCCCGGGGAGCATCCTTCCTCCCGGGGGGACCACTAGGCCTCCCCACCTCCAGATCCAGGCTGGGTCCGCTCTTCGGGGGGGGCTGGCCCCGCTTCCCCTCCCCGCCTTGGCTACGGCTCGACCCCGCTTTCCCTTTGCAGGCTGAGCTCAGCCGGGCAGGCGCCGAGCTGCTGGAGGCGGCTCTCCTGGCCTGGATGGCACTGGCGCTGCCCGCCTCCTGGTGCCCCTCGGGCAGGACCTCTGCCGGGCGCCCCGGCCCCGGGCCGCGGGGATGCTGAGCCTCCTCGGTGGCCGGGTAGCGCAGGGTCTCATCGCTCAGCGAGGCGGCGCTGGAGAAGTTGACGGGGGTCCCATCGGCTGAGTCGGTGAAGGAGTCATCGTCCTTGAAGAGGTCACGGGTGGTTGCACGCAGGTGCTTAGGGACACCGGGGTGTGTGTGGGCTGGCACCAACATGTAGACAGGGACGTGCACCGCCTTCTTCGTCTGGGGGTGCAGGACCTGGCCAGAGAGCAGGGAGGTCTTCACCTTGCGGAAGCGGGAGGGCATGGCGGAGCTGATGCACTCCTTCAGGATCTCGATGTCGTCGTCAGAGGGGGGCTCAGGGCGGTCAGCCCGCCGCCGGCCCTCCAGGTACCGCTCCTCCCGCCGCTCCTCCCGCTTCTCGTGAGCCGCAAAATTCAGGCTGTTCTTCTCCGGGAATGTGGGCATCAGCTTGAGCTCCACGTCCTTCTGGACATAGTGCTCATGGAGGGGGAGGGCGCTCAGGCTGGAGGCGCAGGAGAAGTTCTCGTTGGGTTTCTCCACCGTGAAGTAGACCATGGAGTCCAGGTCCTGGGGCAGCTGGAAGCGCTCCTTGAAGTCGGTGATCTCCATGAACTTCTTGACGTTGTTCTCCCACTGGATGTTGAACTGGCTGGTCTCCTTCTCCGGTTGGCAGCCCAGCTCGAAGAGGGGCGTCTTGCTGCGGCTGGGCGGCATGGTCTGCCCGGGGCTGTCGGGCAGCTCGCTGGGACTGATGGTGCCGCTGATCATCTCGCTGCAAGGGTCGCTCTGGATGGAGCTGGCGATGGAGGGGCTCTCGAAGCTGCCCAGGGAGCTGACGGAGCTGCAGCGGCTCATCACCAGTGGCGTCTCCTGGATGTAGTTCTCCGAGGAGCTCGAGGGCGTGAGGTCCTCCTGGCGTGATGGTGATGACTCCCGCAGGAAGACCTTGTCGCACTTCGGGAAGGGGATGGTGATGGGCTGGGAAATCCTCACCGGCGTGGCCGGACCCAGATCCGCCGCCTTCTCCTTCTCCTGCCTCCCATCCTCACCTTCCCCGTCCCCTTCCTCCATCTCCAGGATCTCCAGGGAGGAGTCGCTGTCCAGGTCGTTCTCGCTGTGGCTCTGGCCATCCAGCACGTTGTCAGCCGAGGAGAGGGAGGAGAGGGAGCTGCACCGGGAGAAGCAGATCGGGGTGTCTTCCACCGAGTATTTCTGCACTGACTCCTGCTCTGTCATGGCTGGCGGGTGGGCAGGCAGCTTCTCCGGGATCTTGCTCAAGGTCTCGGCCGTCTGCAGCAGTGCAGGCGGGAGCCAGGCTTGCTTTCTGCCCAGGAGGGAGGGGTGGTGGCCGGCACCGGTGGCTGCACCGCTCTTGGCCAGGCTCTCGAGCAGGGGGACGTGCTGGTAGGACGGGGAGAGCTTGATGGTGCGGACCTGGGGGTCAGGGGAGAGTTTGCTGCCTGCCTCCTTCTTCCACTCAGGCTCCTTATCCAGCGCCTTGGGGCTGGGGAAAGTCACCGTCTTCTTGGCCCGTTCGGGCAGGTCTCGCTGCTCCGGTTTGTCTGGCTCAGCCGGGTCTCTGCCCTTGAGCGCCGCGGGTTCGACCCGCTCTGGCTTGCCGCCCAGGATGCTCTTGAGGTCAAGGCGGCTCGGCCGCTTCTGGTACCGCTGCAGCTCATCCCGATAGTCGAGGAAGGCGGCCCTGGTGCAGGGCTTCATGTGCTCCTTGGTGCAGTAGCCATCACTGGTGCTGCCGCTGTTGAGGCTGTCGTTGGACAGGCTGGTGTAGGCGGTCTTCAGCCGCAGCAGTGTGTGTGCCCGGCTCAGGCTCTCCCGCTTGGCAAAGCCGCCGGCGTCCGAGAGGCGGCATGGCGAGCAGGACTGGGCACGCGCCTCGTGCACCTCCTCGGGGCCGTACTGCCAGTCCAGGCAGTGGTCCTCCGAGCTGAGGCTGAAGCTGTCATCCGAGGACGTGTGCATGGTGGAGATGTCCTCCACCAGCTTATCGATCTTGGCGACTGTGCTGGAGATCTTGTTGGCCAGCTTCTCGGCAGCCAGTGAGACGTCATCCTCCGGCAGCAGCGGCTTCTTGGGCTCAGCTGGCTTGCCACCGCTGTCCTTCTCCGGCTCCGGGCATCGCCTCTGTGCCAGTGCCCGGGGCAGCGCCTGCCCCTGGAGGAAGGAGGAGTTGAGGAACATGGAGAGGACGGAGGCGCTGGCCGTCTCCACGCCAGTGGAGATGTTGGGCACTTCGTCATCATCAAAGCAGCCGGAGTCGGAGGCGTAGTCCTTCACCAGGCTCTCCATGTGCCGCGTCGGCTTCTTGGCGTTCTGGCTCTTCAGGCTCTGCTTCTCCATGGTGTCGAAGGTCTCGGCCAAGTGCTTGGCGTCCAGCTCGGCCTCCAGCGCCTTCTGCTTGCGCATGTAGAGCGAGGGCATGCAGGAGCCCGGCGAGACGACGGCGGCATCCTTGTACTTGGGGGGCCGGTTGGTGAGGAGGTTGCGGAGAGCGGCCGCGCTGCCCATGGCGATCATCTTGTGCTTGGAGTGGATGAGGTTGCGCAGCATGCTGACCGCCCCCAGGTCCCAGAGCAGCTCCTGGTCACGGGGGCTGCGGGCGGACAGGTTCCAGAGGGTGCCGCAGGCGTTGCTGACGATGGTGAGGCTGTGCGAGCGCAGGTGCTGCAGCAGCGTCTGCAGGCAGTTGTGGTCCCGGAGCACCTGCCTGTGGGACAGAGGGGACCCCCAGCCGTCAGGACAGTCCCTGACCCCCTTCCCCGCCGCTGTCCCCACCCTGCGGCGACCCTCACCTGTAGTCCTCCCGTGTGGCAATGAGGCTGGAGACGTTCCTGAGGATGCCGCCGCCGCTCTCAATGATGGCCAGCGAGTTGCTCTGGCACTTGTAGGTGAGGGTGCTCACCAGGAAGCCCAGGGCTCCCTCCACCCCGCAGATGGCGGCTTTGTTCTCCGTGCTGTGTGCCGACAGGTTCCACAGCGCGCTCAGGACGCTCTAGGCCGCTCTCTTCAGCGGACTCCTGTCCCGGCGGACACACACCCCCATCAGCACCCGTCCGGCCGCCCCGGTGCCCGCTCCTGCCCGCCCCGGTGCTCACCTTGCCGGCGTGCAGCGCGCACCGCGTCAGCCCGGTCACGCTGCCCACCTCCCGCAGCACCTTCTTGCTGTTGATGTCAGCCCGCCAGGAGAGGTTCCTCAGGATGCTGGAGACCACCTGGGAGGGCAGAGCGGGGCAGGTGGGTGTGGGAACCGTCCCCCTGCCCGTCCCCCTCCCCGGGAGAGCCCCCCCACACCGCCAGCACCCACCTGGTGCAGCTCCTCGCTGTCGGAGCCCAGCTGAGCCACGATGGCCTCCATGCAGCCCCGGCGGGGGCACAGCGTCGCCTGCGGGGAGGATGAGGACGGTGAGGGTGACGCTGCAGCCCCCCGGCCCCGCTCCCCACCCCGCAGCCCCCCCGGCTCCCCCCGACCTTGTTGACCACGTCGCCGAAGGGGAGGGTGGGGGGGGCCATCCCCGCGTAGCGC